AACTTATGATTTTTGTGTGTAGTCAATGACAATGTAATTTATTGAATCCTTTCTGTTTAAAGTTTGTACAAAAATGTAATACTGTGGAATACTTTATTTTCGCTGGAATTAATTTTCGCTGAAAAGGCTGTTTTGGCGTTTTGTATGGAATTTATTTTCACTGATTTTTGATGAGCTTAATGTTAAATATAGGAAAACAGGTATATTCACTGGATTTTATTTTCACGAAATCATCCCTTCAGCGAAAATAGCGAAAATAAATTCCAAGCGAAAATAAAGTATTCTACAGTATACATACACAAATCGCTTATTGGATTGACTCACATTTACTTTTGTTAATTAAAACCATTTTTAATCTGCATTTAACTGTGACATTTTCTGTCACACTTGCAAAAATCCTACAAATTTGTGTTACAGATTCAATTCGTTTTACTTTATGATTCGACTTAATAACAATAACAGGGTCAGTCATTGCAGTTTTTCACTTGTAAGTCAATAACCACTGTGGCACCGAGTGAGATACATGCATTCCATTCCATATGTATTCGCCTCTAAGAAAAACTACATTGAGTACACATTGATGTGTACATATTTTTTATTTTATTAGCAATCTTATCTGAGTCAAGGTTGCATTGGGGTTCTCATTATTATTAAAAACACTACTGGTATTTCTAAACCCTCCCCTCTCCCAGAATGACTTGATGTATGTTATTTTGTTAATTTGCAGGGGAAGTAGTCATGGGGTTATCCCGGAAAGACAGCGCATCAACGAGTATGGCGTCTGAGGCATTACCACATTCTACAGAGCGCACACAGACTGAAGATTGTCTTCCCGACTTAGTGGCTGGAGTTAGGGTGTTTACAAGGTGGCCAGATGGATATTACTATCCAGGCATTGTGGTGAAGAAGGATGATAAAAATGGCAGGTAAGAACCCAAAAAGTTGTTTCTAGTTATTGTGCACATTAGTTTGAAACATTGCGCCTCACACATTTATTATTTTGAAATGTTTTAGTCTGATACACCACATACAGTAGAATGGAGAAATGTCTGACAGGAAATTTTTAAATACAAATCAACCTTTGCTACATGTATTCAAAAACATTATTTAGTAAATGTTAAATCTTGAACATCTTGTACTTTCTTGTTGTGGTAGATTGAATAATTAATGCTGTATTATTTTATATTTTTCCATGGGACTGGGAGCAAAAACGATTTTAGGGGGCTGAAATGTTTTGAGTTTGTGTTTTAGTTAAATGAATGGGTGGGTGAAAGTGAGTAATTGAATTAATTTCAGTAAATTCACTTGATTTAGATAATATTCTTCAAATTAATTAAAACCTGCAGTCTTAAACTTTTTGATCTTTTTGATTTTACAGATTTATTGTAAAGTTTGACGATGGCGATACAAGACCAGTCTCTGAAAAAAACATATTTATCAAAGAATGGTTGGATAAACATCAAAGCGTGATGGCGATGTCTTCTGATGAAGAATACTTTGAACCAGGTATTTCAAAATACTGTGGAAATGTTCATTTCATGATTTTGTACATGTATTTTCAGCAATATTATATTTTGCAGTTTTACATCCGACTACTGTAAAATACGTTATTTTAGCTGGAATATTAATTTTGTCAAGAACAAAAGACATTTTGTACAAAGTGTATTTTCACTAATTTTTGATGAGATGAATGTAAAATATTGGGAAAACAAATATTTCTATGGAAAATAAATTATTTTACAGTAATTAAAATCAAAACTATTTGGATGTATCTCCAGAATGAATTCCTTCTTTCTTACACTGAACCTGGTATGTGCGACTCTCAACAGCAATTCATGTACTCATAACTGGACTATGCAATGTTTGAAAAGTACCACAGAAATTTAATGGTTCTACAGTAATAATTGTAGGCTAATTAATTATAACTTTAAAGTGTCCCAGATTTTCTATCAATATTTTGCTAAATGTGGTATTTGCAAAATCTTGTAAATTTGTATAAGATATATGTCCCATCCCCCATTTCTTAATTTGATTTGATGCTTTACCCCTGAGATTATCTCTTTTAATAAATGTTGGTCTTTTTTCTAATAGGTATAGTTGTTGGTTATTATAAAGATAAGGACACAGATGAAGAAGGCTATGTCGTCGAGAAAGATGAAGGTCATACAAAAAGGTAAAACAAGATTTGTCACATGACAAAATAAGGTGTTTGTATCAGGTGCCATTATGTCTACAGTCTTCAATCAGAATTGTTTTGATTCAGGCACTTGAAGTTATATGATACAAAATTTGTCTGTTGTACAATATCAATATCAGGATAACTGCATTTTAACATCACTAAATGGGTTATGCCTCCCCTCGCTTGTTTTTGTAGGACTTGTTATTTGACTATAGCCCATGAAGATTGATTCCTCTTTTTTTTCAGGTACCCAAGAAAAAAAGTTATTCTGACTGCTGACCAAGCACACAGTTACATTGCCAACAAGCTCAGTACTCCAAGTAAGACATCAGCCTCTGTCAGTTTAGGTAAGAATTTAATATCATTAGGTTATGGCCACAAACATTTTTCTCAGTATCTGGGTATTTTAATAGGATACTGGCTTTTATCACATCGCCAACAAAGACACAACAGAAAGTTTTTAACCAAAAATTAAATTTATTGTATGCTGTATCATTGAACTAAGACTTATATACCGGTAGATCATAGTTACTATCACTTCTGTCATTTACATTCACTTCTAGTAGAGCAAATACACTAGTTGGAAATAAAAATATAATTTTTGGCCTAAATTAAATTGATAATCATGTTGTGTTTTTACACATTGAGGGCAGGTAGAAGTGAAGGTTCTTACTTTTAGAAGTGAAAATTCGTACTTTTCTGCTTACTGGAAAAACTGACGTCATGACAATAATTAACCTGATTGTCTCAAGGTGTATGAGGGTTTAAATAATAATCTGTGTTACTCTTTATAATGTGATAAATTTAATTGACTTAAATTTGCATTTGAATGACATATTTTTTTCTCGCTAAAATTTTGATACCACGTTTTTATGTGTTTATCTGTAGATATTTTTTTAAATTTTCGAACAAATGAATGTACTGTCCCATTGGCTTCCAGTCTTCATCAAAATGTTTGCAAAAATCTGGAAAAACTAACACTAGGTTATTTTGTGAAAAGTGCCAAAGTTAGTTTGGGTTTGAAAGGTTAAAGGTCAATAAGTTAATAATAATTGAAATATGCAACATATTTGACAGCTATTCACTGTGGATCCAAATTAGTACAGGCTACAGTGTTTCACCAAGAAAACTCAATACATATATTTTCTCATCTTTTTAGATAATTTAGTAATTGGCAAAAGGAGTAGAAGTGGCAGTTACATTCCAACTAGAAGACGAATAAGAAAAACTAACAGGACAACAAATATCAAAACACCTGAAAAGGTTCAAGAGTCAGTGAAACGAAAACTTGACGACGTTACAGATGATGCAGAAAAAGATACTCCAAAGAAAAGAGGGAAACCCCCGAAAACAAGTGTGTTGATCTCTATAATTGAATAATTGAATTTTTGTAATTGTTATGTTTTTTTTTGTCAAAATATATTATATAAATCTTTATTTTTATATCTCTGGAACAGTTCATTTAAAATTGTGGTTTGTTTTGAAATAAGAACTGAGACTTTGTCTTTCTTCTTTCAGAAATTCCAGTTGTGGCTGGTGAAGCCACAATTCCATCAGTTGCTGCACCTCAAAGTCCATCAGTCACATCTCTTAGAAGGTCTCCTAGAAAAACAAATATGCCATCACCTGCACGTGTCTCGCCATTAAAAAGTGTGACTCAGATTCAAGAGCTGCCAGGACCATCAAAGGCAGAGCCAACAAGAGCTTTACGATTCTCATCTCCAGCAAGAATGAGTCAAACAACAAAAGTGATGGACACTATCTCGGCATCGAAAAATTTATTTAGTGCATATGCTTTTCTCTTGACCTGTGGAGAAAAGAAAAAATTTGTAAAGCCAATAACTTCCCCAGGAGAGTCTACTGATGAAAGTGTTGCAGATGAAGGTTACTATATTCATCTTTACTATAATGGTTTTCATGGATACAAAGATGTGCTTTTGCCTTTTACCTAGGTTTTTCGGTTTTTGATTTCATCGTTGACTGCTTCACTTCACTCACCTGTGATGTAGTGAGCCTGTTTCTTGTTTCATAGTTTCTCATGAATATTCATAATAAATTAGCATATGCAGATGTATATTACTGAGTGATGCGCCTTCATGTGTTGTGTCGTGATTGTCTTTAAGATTTATCTTGTTTTCTTTCACTAGAACCAGATATTCCTTTCGAGAAGGAAGCTATTAAAAAACTCATAAAAGATGGTGGAGGAAAAGTTCTCAACAGTTTTGACGAAGCTGTGGTAAGAAATGTTCGGTCATACATAGTTTTTGAGAGTTATGAACTCACTGCATTAAAAATCATGTGTAGAAATACAATATCTAACACCCACCTCCACTGCATACTAAGTGCTCAACTACCACTGACATCTATACTCACTTCATACAAGTACAAGACATATACTTTGTACTGACTTCTACACTCACTTGTCTTCATACATGTAAAAGGCATATACTTTGCACTGACATCTACACTCCGGTCAGGCAAAATGACTATTTTGAACAGTAGGCATTAATCTGCAATTCAGCCAATGACAGAGAGAGAAATCTAGGTCAGGGGAAGCCTCATAACCTCAAGATTTTCCTTCATGTCACGAACCACGTGACCGAGGCAATGAGACGGCACCATATTGCCTCCCCAGTCACTTCGGTGCATTTCAGTCATCCAGATTTTTTTCCTGCTCGAGTTTTTGATCTGGCTAGCTGTCATCTGCGTAGCAGCTGACGTTGTGGCTGGTAGGATAAGCCTTTCTTATTTGTTACCCCTGTTTCGCATTTTTGTGTGCATTGCTTACAAGAACGAAAAAATTTGGTGACGCAAATTTGACCACGTCGTTGGTTCTTTTTGTGTCAGCTTTCAACTGTAATTCGTTCCTCTTATGCATGTCTTGTTCATTTTTATCAATGTTGTTTTTAGAAATGGACAGAACTAAAGGGTAACATGCCAGAGGCTCTTCACCTTCTTTTTTGTCGCCCCAAGGATCAGGGCGATTGTACGGTAGTTGCCACCAGGAATTACCAGCTTGCAACCCACATAGCAAATGCTATTTGTGTTTTGACTGTATATGGGGCTCTGGTTTTTGCCTAGAGAATAGGATGCGTTTCAAGGCCGCATGCAAATTGCTGTAATTCACAGTCACCGCGTCACTCTGGTTCACAGCAGTCGCATGTGTAGTAATGTGAACGTGAGTGAGTGGGGTGTAGCATGAGCATGAGAGTCCTCCCCCTTGTTTTGGCTAGTTTTCACTGGGCGCTCCACCACCTTAGTTATGCAGACTGAAATCCCCACCACCCCCCACCCCCACCCCACCCTCTTTCTTTTGAGGATGTAAAGAGCAGTCTTGGTGATTCGGGATCCCACCAACCGGTTGGTACAAGTGAGACTGTGTGTTTGGCTTCTGCCAAGGGCAAGTGGAAAGGACCCAAAGGAAATGTGACGATCAAAGCTTCCTGGCTCTTCCGAGGGAGGGGAAAGTGGCGACAGGAGAAGGGACCAAGAAGGGACCAGGTGGTGGTCGCCTATCCAGCTCACAGGGGAAGCAAGTTTGGTGCTTCTGCTTGCGGCAAGGGGGATGGGCATATGTTCGGCAGGAACCTATTGACTTCTACAGGCCTCGCAGGGTCTCACCTTGGCGGAGGAGAGATCACCCCTGATATAGAACCGCTGAACCCACATATCTGTCGCACAGATTGCGCCGGTGTATTCCGGCTCGAAGGCAGCGCGTAACCGATCCCTAGACTACAATGTGAATACAATGTTGAGCTAACCACACACCACCTTCCAGGGTTGAGGAATAGTCAAGCGGACGCTCTCACGGCGGCTCCATCTCCAGAACGTGGAGTGCCAGATACCCCAAGGGATAGCCTCCAGACTGTTTTAGCGATAGGACGGCCTAAAGTTAGACCTATTCACCACACCCCGGAATGCCAAGCTCCTGGCGCACACGACACTCCAGGAGCCAGGGACACTCTGTCGACCCCGTGGACCCACATGGACATGTACGCCTTCCCAGTATTCTTTGGGTACTGAAGAAACTTTGACAGGAGTGCACCTGCACTTGACGCGGGTGGCACCCAACAGGCCAAGCAAGGCCTGGTTTCAACTATTGTTGGAAATGTTAGTCGAAACATCAGTGGGGCTTCCGGACTCTGAGCCCAGCGGTGTACCACTTACATGCATCAAGGCTCTTATTTGTCTTGCTCAGGTTTTTTCTGAGTGGGCTGCCAACGTCCTGGCCATGGCAAACAGGGATCCCACCAACACAGCCTACGTCTCAAAATGGCGAGCATACACTGATTGGTGTAGTGGAGGGGAGATTGATCCATGCCATCCCTCTGTTGGCCAAGCAGCTGACTTTTCATCCATCTGTTTGACGTAATGAGCTTGTCCTTTCAGCGATTGTTGGCTATAGGTCAGCCTTGTCACCCACCATTGAGAAATCTCTGGGGACAAGGCTAGCCGGTACTCCTACTTTTAGGAGACTTTACTGCCTAATTAGAGGCCTAGACCCCGAACGAGGGAACCACCTAATTGAGACTTGTCGGTTGTGTTGTCCACTCTAAACAGACCGCCCTTTGAGCCTCTCTGATCAGCACCACTCAAATATTTGACGTGGAAAACAGTCTTACTAATAGCCCTCGCCTCAGGTAGGCGTCTGTCTGAACTAGGGTCGTGCTAAAGACACGAATCAGGTTCCTCGCCAAGAATCAAATCCCAGGACACGATCCACAACCGATCATCATCCCCCCGCTGGCAACATTGTTGACCAGAAGGATCAGGAGGAGTTGCTTCTGTGCCCGCTTTGAGCACTGAGTTGCCACGAGAGCCGTACTAGGGAGTCGAGGCATGGCAGCAAACACATGTCTATGCGTTATGCCCAGGGTAAGCAGGATAGACCAGCCTCCTCGACTTCCATTGTCAGGTGGATCACTGCAACCGTGTTCAAGGTTTATAACTGTTTGGCATTCTCGACACAGGGTCTACAGAGACACCAAGTACGAGCACATGAGGTCTCATTAGCTCTTGCGTCTGGTGCCCCCTCGAACATGTGCTGAGGGCAGGCTTCTCGAGAACGCAAAATATCTTTATCACTTCTACCTAAGAGATACCCAATTCATTGAGGAGGATCTTTTTAGATCCCGACCACCCCACTTTTCCGTAGCGTTGGCTTAGTCCTCCGTGCGGAGAAAAAGAACCACAAGTGACTGGGGAGGCAATATGGCTCCGCCTCATTGCCTCAGTCACGTGGTTCGTGACATGACCTAGATTTCTCTCTCCGTCATTGGCTGAATCGCAGATTAATGCCTACAGTTCAAAATAATCATTTTGACTGACCGGAGTCTGTAGGTGGGTATGAACTATGTGAATAGGCGAGTTGAAAACCCTCTGTCTAATTTACACTGACATCTACACTCACTGCACACTTGAAGTGGTACAGTAATTACTTCTCTTGCATTTAAATTTTCAGACGTGTCGCTGAAGGTCTATTTACTGGCAAACACATACTGCAGGACAAAGAAGTATTTCCAATGTTTAGCAGCTGGTATTCCTTGTGTTTCCTTTTTGTGGCTGAGTTACAGTTGTAAACTGGTAGGTGAATTTATATTCAACCCCAGGTAGGATTTGGACTCGGGAACCTACTGACCACAGATCCAGCACGACAACTCTACAACTGTTGTTGCATGTGACCACTGTATACAGTGATCCCAGTCAAAGTCTTTTCATTTATAGACGAAAGTGAGGTGCATTATAATGCTAAAATTATTTACTTAAATTCAAACCACCATTGTAAATGGTATTGCTCTCTCTTATGTTTGAAATGTATCCCATAGTGTGTGATTGACACTAAAATTGCTACATTTTTCGATACATTTCATACATATAGCAGAAATTCAGGTGTCACTGTTAGCGTATATAGCAGTCACATGCAACAGTACCCAGTTTTATTCCAGTAACTTAATCAAATCCTTAGTCTTTAATGCATTTGTTTGTAACTTGTTGAAAATCATAAATGCTTTATAATGTGGTAAGGCAAGGGACATTATTTCTAGTAAACAAAACTTGCCTGTCATCGAATATATATACTAGTAATTATATATACCTATGTGTAACCTGTAGAACAATGTGCTTGATGTTCCATCCTATTTATTACCGGCTGGTGAAAACATTGAAACAGAGACAGTTATGGAATTGTAAGTGTGCCTCTTATTTATTTTGTTGCATCTTGGGTGAATACTTAGTTTACTGTATATGAATTAATTATTAGTTGTATTTAATTTTCTCTTTCTCTTATATTAGTCATAGAGTGTATTTTTTCTTTAGAACAAACTACAATATTGTACGTTATGTCTGGTGAACTTAATAACAATCCAGTGAATTTAAAACCAAGTGAATATCATATTTATGTGGGGGACAATACGTTGTGATTATGTACACAATGATTTGTAATAAACGTGCCTGCTGGCAATCCAGGGACTTGCAACACGATACAAAATGTAAAAATGAAACAAAACTTGCAGTATGCCCTTGATATACATGAATATGAACTTGGCCATGTACGAAATTAGCGAGAATGCCTATAAGTGGCTGAATATAAAAATTGTAACAAAAGAACACACTGCGGTTGTTTCTATCATGTTCATACTAATTGCTGTCGTTGTACTTCAGAATCATATTTTAAAACATATGATAAGAATATTAGGGTATTGAATGATGCGAATAAAATGATTAACAAATATTGCATATTTCAATTACAATGATTACAAATAAATAATTCAGAGAGTACTTTGACAATCTTTCTTTAGTATATATTGTATTAAATTATTCACTTTTAACATCTGCTTAGGGGGTATGAAATAAGAATGCTCAGTTATTTCCTTTGGGGTGCATTCTTTTATCTTGTGGTTATCTATACATTCATGTTTATCACTCAAGATTTTCCTAATATTTTCTTGATTCTGTTTATTTTTGAAGGCAACAAACTCAGAATATATTTGATGGTATTCGCTTTTTGGTACTGTCTAGGAATTCTAAAGATCCAGAGTATGAACACCTTTGGCGTTCTATACTTGTGGCAGCAAAATGTAAGAAAGTCGTTATTCTGCCGCAGGATTTTGACATTTCCAAGAAGCCCAGTAAGTATGCTAAGTTTGCATGGCTAAAATATCGCATAAAAAGGAGCTACCGGGGTACATTGACCATGTTTTCTGTATGTTTGTGAAGGAGAATATATGTACTAATAATTTAGCGACTGTAACATGTTTTCTCAACAGTTAGATTAGATTTAAATATTTATTCTGAGGAATAGTTTAATACATGTTTATAGGTTATGATTTGGAGAATTTCCGAACAAACAAACATCTCATGTTTATAGGTTATGATTTGGAGAATTTCCGAACAAACAAACATCTCGTGTTTATAGGTTATGATTTGGAGAATTTCCGAACAAACAAACATCTCATGTTTATAGGTTATGATTTGAAGAATTTCCGAACAAACAAACATCTCATGTTTATAGGTTATGATTTGGAGAATTTCCGAACAAACAAACATCTCATGTTTATAGGTTATGATTTGGAGAATTTCCGAACAAACAAACATCTCATGTTTATAGGTTATGATTTGGAGAATTTCCGAACAAACAAACATCTCATGTTTATAGGTTATGATTTGGAGAATTTCCGAACAAACAAACATCTCATTTTACTTGAAATAGCAGAGTGCCTCAAATTTTACTGATATTTTTTTCTTCCAGGAACATCACTGAATTTCGACATCATCGTAGCCGACCACACACTTCCACAAAATCTAGAAGACAAAGCCAAAGAACTGCGGATACCAATTGTGTCGTGCGAGTGGGTAATCCAGAGTCTGATATGTGGACAGCGCAGGAACTTTCAGGAGTCATCCAAAATATGATCATAGATTGGTGCACAATTGAATCAGATAGCTTATTTTATAAGTTTCCAATATTAATTTTTTATTGTCAAATAAGAATTTTTATGATGTTCAACTTTTTCATGAATTTGTGAGACAGCTCCCCAACCCGCAAACAAAAAGCAGCAATCGACATAGAGAAAAGGTAAACACTACCACGTTGTCATACTAACATGAGATATTTACAAATTGAAAAACTTACAACTATGTCGATGGTTAACCTGTAACTTGTAGTACTGTACTATGTGTTTGCCAGTTATCAACAATTGTGTTTTCCCATGACAAGTTATTCTGTTTTATATTTCAACTGTAACTTATTTCATATTTTTATACCAACCTCATCAATCTCGCTGTCTTCAGTTGATATTGAGCTGTACTTTTTTAGTAAATTTAATTATTAATATTTCGATCTTCCGGTTTTTTAACACCTCTGTGCTGTTTTCTAACCATGTTTTACATCTTATTTTGATATGTACTCGTGTTTCGTTTTTTTTTTTTTCAATGTGCACATTTTACCCTTCAATGTTTTATATTTCCGAATACTGTATATCGGTAGTGTTTTTAAAATCAATGATTGAGTTAAAATCCATAGGTTTTGTGATCAATTTGTAGGATTTTGAATATTTAAGACTATACGATATAAATTTTTAGAGCACAATTATTGTCTGAAAAGTATATGACAAACTTGAATGATTGCACATAGATATCACCACAGAAACAATCATACTGTGATTTGGAGGATAATGTACACAATCGAGATGTTGAATTTAATTATGTTTTAGTGAATTTTATTTTTATCTCAAGTTTAAGCAAATTCGGCTGCGAAGAATAATCACAATTCACTTATATTGCGTGGGACTACTCAATATTACACTAGTGGTTTCTGCTGAAAGTCCCTAATTTAACTTACATTGTAGTAGTAGTGTGAAACAGGTTCATGAATCAATCATGAATATCCAACTTACCCCCAAGGGGTAAGGGTTTATTTTTGTGTAATTACAGAAAAAATTGTTAGATCCAAACTAAGTGTAACTGAAAATCTGTCTGAACTAAAGACTATTTCTAGTCACTTCACTTTAAACTTGAATATATAAAACGATGTAGAAAGAAACATGTTGGTCTTAGTGATATTTTCAAAATGAATCCATAGATAAAATTATGTACCTTTAATAGAAATTATTGGCTGTCTTGACTTTGTTCTAATTTTTTGTCCATGAAACATAGTAATATAATTCAACATTTTTTTTTTTAAATGTGTTGAAAATACTTGATATGTAAGCAGCTGATGGTAACATTGTAAATATGTTTTTAAACCAAATAAAATATGTATATTTACTTGATCTATGTTTGGGTTTTTTGTGTCAAGGTGAATAAATTATTTTATTTCTGTTCCTCAGCAACCAGTCCTGAACAAAATTAGAAAAAAAATTACAAGAGAAGAATTTTTTGAAGTTTCAGTAATTAATAATTTACATAAATACTAGAGTGCATGATGACCCACCATGCTTTGATTATTTCCTTGTACAAAAAGAAAAAAGATTTGACAAATCAGTACATATTTTCAGAAAAGCTGTTTGCATAAGATTTTGCACTAATTTATAACATATTTACCGAACGTTTCATTCAAATAAAATTGAAACAACTGGATTGGACATGCATTCATAAACGGTTTTTTTTCTGAAAGCACTGTATTGAAATACATGTAATTTGTAATTTAATAAATTGTGTGTTGTTGTAAGAACATTACATATAATATATGTAATCTAGAAATATCATACTCAAACTAATACTAAAATATACTTATGTAATGCACTATGTGATTGTCAATATTCTTAAAATCTGGAATTGTCAGCAGTTTTTGCCCTTGCAGATCAAGTCATGCCTAATAAAAGGTGGCAGGTCAGAGCTTATCAGGTGTGCTAAAACAATCACTCACTATGAAACTGTTGAATTTTACATGTATTTTATAGCAAACCATACTCGTCACTGACAAGCAATGCCTCTAAAACCTCTGTGGTTGGGGTTGGCCATGTAGTGATATTTAGCTTCGCTGTCGACTTTGTCGAGCGGAGCCTATCATATGAGTGATTGTCGTCCGTGTCATGTTTTACTTTTTAGATTTCTTCTTGAAAACTACAAGCCTGAATGCTTTGATACTTGGTGTATATGTACCTTGGGTAGACCTCTCTTAGATTTGTTAATTTCATGATGATATCTTCAATTCTCTAATTTTGGTGAATATTTGTCATTTTTGGTAAAAAGTGATATTTTCGACTTCTTGTTGAAAACCGCAAATCCAATTGCTTTGATATTACATATATAGGTACTACATGTGAACCTCTCTCAGATTTGTTCATTTTGTTATATCTTCAATTCTCTAATTTTGGTGAATGTTTTTGTCATTTTTGGTAAAAAGTGATATTTTCAACTTCTTGTTAAAAAACGCAAGTCCAATTGCTTTGATATTACATATATAGGTACTACATGTGGACCTCTCTCAGATCTGTTCATTTTGTAATGATATCTTTAATTCTCTAATTTTGGTGAATATTTTTGGTAAAAAGTGATATTTTCGACTTCTTGTTGAAAACCGCAAGTCCAATTGCTTTGATATTACATATATAGGTACTACATGTGGTTCTAACTCAGACTTGTTCATTTCATGATGATATCTTCAATTCTCTAATTTTGGTGAATATTTTTGTAATTTTTGGTAAAAAGTGATATTTTCGACTTTTTGTTGAAAACCGCAAGTCTGATTGTTTTGATACTCTACATATTGTTCATTTTCTAATGATATCTTCAGTTCTTTAATTGAAATGTGCATTGATAATAGCGGAGCTATCTCAGCTGACAGGCTGCTTGTTTGTTTCTTCCACCGCCCTGAACACTGTCCCTCAATGGTGTTTTGTTCTACCGGTAAATTGGTGTTGAATCATAGGTCCAATTATGGTTCTTCATTTTTGGTTAGAATTGTTTCCATCCAAATTTTAGCCAATATTTTCTTTTCAATATTCCTTTTAGATATATTATTTTTAATAAATATTGCACAACGTAGAAAGCAGGTCGTTAGTTTGTGCCCATTCTGAATTTTTATTCTTTGGACGAATTTTTGTTTTGGTTTACGTGTTCAGATTTCTGTCTTGAAAATTATATGTACACATAAGTTTATTTATTATTGGGTGTATTGTGCTAAATCACCATTACGTGTTGTTTACAAGCAAGAAAATCAACTGACTTAAGCGGTGAATGAAAAACATAACGTGCCTAGGTGGTCCATGTTTGTACTCGAAAAAAAATGGCGACTTGCAGTGTTTCGTTAAAAGTTCCCGAAAAAACCGGACGAATTCAAGTAGAAGGTGTCCAATTATCCGAAAGCGTCCAGAGCCTGAAGAAGCAAGTGGCAGATAAAATCTCATTGGCCGAGTCTCAATTTGGTGAGAATAGAATTCCTGAGTTTAGTTGCATTCTGGCCTGGTGTGTCGCCCGGCGCGAGGATTGCTATTTATTTACAGCGAACAGCTGGTATTACGATAACAAAGACACTAGTGTCCACTATGCCCGGCGTCGCTCACATTTGACCGCAGCTTAGTGTCTTCCAATAGTTTTAATTTAAACTTCAAGTGGAACAAATATAAAAGCAGTGGGTGTAATTATATGCACCAGTTATTTTCATACTCCAAACTGCCATACAATCATTTTACAAATACTTTCTCTTCTAGACAAATGTATTGAGGCAAAATGATTCACTTCCTGTATTAGTAAAAACGTTGTTTTTAGAAATGTTGCAGTCAAATAAATGGGGGGGGGGTACAATGGATTATACGCAACCCTGCGTTATAATTTTATGATCATATTGTTGAGATCAGACCTCAGGACACTGAATTTTGTGACTGCAGACAGTTTTATTAGTGTG